TATAAGAAGTATTTAAATGGGCTATTATTATTATCGAGGTTGTGTGTGAGAGTACTCGTATATTAAATATTTACCCACTACACACACGCATAAATTTTACGCTACTTAAATTGCATGTGTACTAAGTACTTGAGCCCGGATTACAAGTACAAAAAAGTGCTACCAGAGCCTACCTGGTCATGGCTTTGATTCTGTTCCCAATTAATTTGTTAATTATGCTCGTCAATTAAAGTTAACAAGTTTGCTAATGCCTCGACATGCGGACATGCCTCTTATTTTGAGCTGAGCAGCTTTATTCTACGCATTCTACAATTTTTTAATTACTTTATTACTCAAGTGCAGCAAATATCAACTTAATACCTGCACAATTTAAATTGCATAAATTAGTAAGACTTTACGTGCCAAAGATGGATTGATAACAAAGTTAATTTAAGTTGAATAAATAAGTACTTCGCTTAAGTCTTCTGTTTTCGACTAGAAATTACCCAGAGAATTTTGTGCATTTTTCAAATAATTGGGTTCGTTGTCCAAGACGTTTTATTTTCATAGTACTACATTCTGTTCAAGATTTGCATATATATTTTTATAATATTTATTTATAGATACACTTTCATTAAAAATGCAAAACTATGCACGCTAATAAAATTGTTCATTTGCTAAAGAGTTTTTAATATTTGCGATTTTAAAACGCCAATTTGCACATAATGTGGCGTACGTGAGCAAAATCCCACAAATTCTGCCACACACATGCATCCATAGTACGTCTCTGAGCACTACGATTCCATAATCCCCCTTTAAGCCCCAAAACGAACGCTCCACAAGTTGCTACATTGTTGTACGAACGACACATTTGCTTCCAAAATGATTGGCAATTATCAATAGTGATAAAGCCATTTAATCGTCACTAGTGGTTGAATTATGCATAGTTTGGACTCGAACAACAGCTCCAACCTAAGTGTTCGGGCTATAAAAACCACACACGGTGAGTCAAATTATATTTTATGCTCAAATTTATTTGAAATAGCATTCAATTTAGCCGTTTTGAATTTATTTTATTGTCATTTGTTTCAGGCATTTTCGTTTTTAACTGACCTCATTTAAAAATTTTTATTATCGACATTAAAATATTTTTCAGAAATTTCGTATATGAAAAATCCCAAACGTGCACCGCTGCCAGTATTTGTGTTGCTAATTAAAAATATCGGGTATGTCCATGCCGGGCCAATTTCATTTTGTGTTGGTGTAATTTTATGACTCAATAAAATGTACTTAACTTGGTCTTAATACCTCGCAACAATAACAACAAATACGGTAACAACAATAAAACGTCGTATTAGTGAACTTAGAGCCATAAGTGGTCGCCCTTTATTCCTCACCCATAAATAGCGTTAGGCCTACAGTTAAAGTTCTGTTACAGAGATATGTAGTGAGCTTAAATTATTTTGTAAGTGCCGAGATTTTAATATTATATTTTATGTATTAAATCCGCTGAAAATAATGTCATAAAAAGTACTTAAATTAAGTTATTTATTGGTGATGACTAGTTATCAACATTGCATTTAGTATAAGAAGGGAAAATGATCCTCTGAATTTATTCCTTTGACACATTGCCAAATGGAATATTGCAACGACAGTAATCTCAAATTATTACAAATAGAGTAAATAGATTATACTTTTATATTATAAATACATTAAAAAACTTATTTAAATAGAACAACTAGTTTATTGGCATTGTCGAAATTTTGCTAATACCAAATGATGTGTAATTAAAAAAACAATATTTACAATATATTATCGAATATATATCATACCATAGAGCACTGAGAAAGAACTAAGATTACTATAAAATAATTATTACGATATAGATTGCAGCAAGATACTTATTTGGGCGTCTTAATCTACCATAATATCACACTATAACAAAAACCTCAGTCTATTTGTAGTGATATAATGTCTTGAAGACGCTAAGAGTTTTATACACATTGTATGTAACTGTCCATTTTAGATTTGAGCCAGGAAATTAATATTAGGATGGGAACTTCCAGCGTCAGTCCATATTAAGATCTTCTCATCAAATGACATTTTGGTTTTTAGTTGAAAAATTTAATGTCTTTTGCTGGATTAAAAATAGTAGTACCATAAAAGACCTACTATAAGAGCTGGTCCCCTCTTTATACTCTATTTCAGCCATTGGAGATATTAATTAGTTACGTAATACAAAATAAAATATCTTTTTGGATTAGCAATTTAGAATAAATTACAGACTTTTTGTAATCCTCAACTCGTTATGCCAGTGTTACACGCGACACTAATAATATGTCTATAAAGTGAAAACCATCAACTGAAAAAATGTTTTTATTTTGAAAACATTCAATATTGAAATTTTTTTTAAATAATATTTTTTATAATTTTTACATAATTGTGAAAGAAAAGTTTATTAATTTTCACAAGTTATTTGCAACATGACGAGTTAGATGTCATATATGTCAATTTATATTAGAACTATATATAAACCTGCACCAATTTATATATACTTGTCGTATTTTTCCGAGAAACTTTTATCAAATACCAAAATTTAAGTAAATATCTATACATGTAGTAAAGTTTTTTTTTTGATTATTCAGTTCACATAGAAGTAATGGAATTTGGTCTACCAACTTGAAGCATTGCAACAAATGTCTCAAATTCTTTCGAATATGACAATTTTTATCAATTTCTCAGCAGGTTTGTCAAGAAATTTGATTTAAGTGGGCATATAACGCTTATTACATCTGATATATAATTCTTCATGTTGCAAACAACTTGATAAACTAATGTGACAATTTTTTTTATATATATCTTAGCCACTAAACAAACTTAGATTCAAATTTTCTTTGTTACAAAACAGAACGACGGACTTTAGTTAATTCATTTATATTATCGAACTAGTTAAGAGTAGTTGTATATATTTCATAAAGTCCTCTTCACTATAGCTCAAATAGTATGCATTGTTTAACACACTTCCTGAAACACATAGTGTAGGTTCAAAAATTTTATTTAAATTAAATTATTATTATTGCGAACTTTATGTCAATAGATGCAGTATTTTAAAATAATCAAAAAGTTTTCAAAACTATTTTATTTAATAATTTATGAATTAATTAATTAATCACTTTTTGTCAATATAACTCATACTGACAACGAAAATAATCAGAAGTAAACAACTTAAAGTAGAAAATTGAAAACATTGAAAAATATACTTAAAGATCATAAAATTTACAATTACTCTTAAGTAAATAAATAAACAAATTTGCAAATTTGAAACTTCATTTCATTTACTGCAATGCAATTTAACTAATAAATATTTAACGAGTTTGTCCATACGTGTACGTAGTACGTACTGGTTACTCAGTTGACTTGCGGCTAAGTTTCCATGTACATGAAGATTGCGTACAATCAAGCAAACTAACTGACAACTGCAATTTAAAATTTTCCGCTTAACACTTAACAATTATCATTAACTACACATAAAGTTTATTGAATTAGCCAAATGCTCGCATGCTCACCGGTCATAGATACGAGCACACACACACATTTACTCGCCGCCAAGCCAAACCTGTACAATGCACAATGTACACTGTGCACTCATACTGGCAAGTTTTTACGAGTAACCGGGCTAGTAACATAAGTACGCTCAACACATACGTGTATTGAGTAGGCATGGCAGTTTTCCAACTTCTCGCTAACAGTCTAATGTTAAATTAAAGCTTGCTGTCTTTAGGCTATATAATAACATAAATACATACATACATACATGTTGGCCGAGACATGTACATATGTGAATGCACTTACGTGAGAGAGTGAGTATTGAAATATTTTATTTGTGCTGTAAAATATTAACGCTCATGTTAATCACTTCGTCGAGTTAAGTAGACAAAGTGTTTGCTTGCAGTTGGCACCGTAAGCGTGCGTAGTAGCTTCTGCTTCCACTCTTTCCTCAGTGCTGCTTTCTTCAGTGTCATAAGGAAGCGTTTAAATGATTCATAATTCATGCTTTTGAATATTTTTATTGACGGTTTTTTATTATTTTACCAAGTATTAACTGCAATAGATTTGAACTTGCAATTGAAATGGAAAACATCGCATAGTTAAAATGTGAACCCACAAATTACAAATCTACACAATTAGCTTGACATGATTTATATACCTGTGATCCAATATTTCAGAAATTGATTTTTAACGTTCACAAAATTTTATTTAATTTGTTTTAATTTGCTTAAAAGTTTTTAGTTATTGACACAAAAGAGATATAAAAATAATAAAGAATTAAAAAGTTTATGATATTTTTTATATATTTTTTTAATCTGCTATAGGACTTTTCTTATTAAATAATTCAACGTTTAATATTTTTTATTATACTTTACTTCTTCCTGAGAGTCGTCATCAGGACTACGATCTACTATAAGTTTATATTATTAAAATTACATATACGTCATCCTCTTTATTCAGTCCTCTATATTGCAGTGCAAAAAATATTAAACGTTGAATTATTTAACAAGAAGGGACCTACAGCCAGATGATAATGAAATGATGAATCTTGTTTGAGTTTCAAGAGCTTGACAATCCGTAATTTCTAGCTTCATCTCATATCCATGACTCTGATATATAACTGGTTTCATTTGTTTTTAATTTTTTTTAATTCTCATATCAGTGTAATTTAATTGGTGAAGTATTTTAAATTGAATAATCATTGAAAACGAAGTTAAGTACAAAAATGATTTTAATTAATTACAATTTTTTTAGTTTTAATAAAAAATATTTTAATAATATTATTTTTTTATGAATACTGTCATTGTTTAGGATCTGAATTTAAAAGTAAATTCGAACAAAGTAAAAAAATTCTAAATTCAAAAATGGCAACCCTATATCCAGTACCAATTAAGGATATTGACTACAAAACTGAAGTGAATTCCCTTGGATTTACACTTTATGAGGAAGCAGCTTTGCTGAACGCTTGGCGATATGTGAAACAAAACATTCAATATCATTCTCATGAAATTTTTTTGAAGTGAATAATTTATAATTTAATTTTTAAATTCATTATAATTAAATTTTTTCCTTACTTTTTTAATCCAGTTTCTTTACAAAAAATGAACATTTTATTGGCCAATTTCGAGATCAAAATGGAAAACTTAATCTTGTAGTCTTATACAAGCACTCCAAGTCTGTATTATTTACCTTTACGTATTTAATAGAAAATGGGATACACGATGTAAGAAGAATGAATTTAATGCTCTCATACTGGTCTCGTGCACATTATGAAAATGGAGTACGTAGAAACGATATCATTGTAAGTTTGGATTAGCATTATTTCTTCTTGATCTTTCAAATAATATATATTTTTAGCTACTCTGTGATGCAGTTTTATCGCATATAGTAGAAGCGCTTGGCTGTAAGTGCACCACAACAATTAAGGGAGCACTGGATAAAATAATTCTTATACTTCTCGACGCATATCCTGAGATCTAAAATTAATTCAGACAACATCGCAAATAGTGGTTCAAAATTTATATTTCATTATATTTTCTTCACATTTCTAAATTATTGAAAGTAGTAGATAATAGACTGTTGTATATTTTTTTATATTTATATCATCATTATTATTGGGGCAACGATCCTAGTTGAATCATGGCCTCCCGTTTTTATTCATGTTTTTGTATGTTTATATATTTATATATTTTTATATATATATATTTATATATTTATATATTTTTATATTTATATATTTATACTTTTACAATACTATAAACTGTGGAATAAGCTGATTTATTTCCTGTTTCAATATGGAATATATTTGCAAATTAGAAATGGATTGTATAGACACAATTCGGTATAAAAACCGAATAGCAATAATAATAACAAAATATCCGAAACTTTGTCGCGCAACAAACACAAATCAGAATGCATTGTATGGCTAGTAACATCATAAAGTTTAACCCTATATCTTCCATTACCACGAATTCCAATTTGCCAAAGTTTTAACTATTAATTTCCATGGTAATTTGTAATCTATAATTTTCAATGGTAATCTATAAAGATAAGAATTTACGATTTATGTCACACCCACATCATTTTCAAAAAAGTACTGGCCAATTATACATCTAGCCCAAATACCACACCATGCATTTGATTTTTTGACAATGGTATTTCTGCGGCTATAGCTGAATTTCCTATTTAACTATCCCCAGATGCAACAATTTAATTTTACCCATTTACTCGTTCATCCAACCGTTCTATTAAAATAGAAAAATGATCCAGTTTTTTCGTTTAAGTATTTCAAATTCTTTTATATAGTTAGATCTTATGCACCTTATGCACTTATCTTATGTAGCACCAAGAGTGTACTTGTTACTTGGGTCATAGAAGAAAGAAGTTAAATGTTGAAATTTTGAATTGGGCCTATATAATATATGTTATATGTAATAAAAACAGACAGATTTTCACAATATTCATTATAACCATCCGAAAATTATTTAGTCATAAACTTTTCTTTAATTTTAAAAAATCTTTGCAAATCTTTGCAAATTTTTATTGAAATAATTTTTCTGTACTTATACCTTTCAAGAATTTCTTTTACTCTCTGCTATTTGTACCTTGTCTCCATTATCACTTAAATTTTTAATCAAATTCAGTATAAAAATAAAACTCTGCACTTTCCTTAGCTCCTCAATATTACTTCCTCATTTAACTGGAAAGCGAAATAAATCGAATGGCTGGTCGTCTGCACCTTGCCCACAATATGGGTATCAACATAAATAACCGCTTACCTCATTTATATGTGAATGTCAATTTATAAAAGGCTTAATTAAGTGATTAAATACGCAAACATGTATGCATGCTAAATATTATCACAAATTAATAACGTAATATAAATTAAAAGTTATTAAAACGAAGTAAAGACACTGAAAATAATAAAAATGCGAATTCGACTGCAGAAAACAGAGGCCATCCATCCAAGCCCGTTGCCAAGTGCCGGCATACGCGGCTCTGGGTTTATAACGGCGTAACTTTTGCGACTTTTCTTTCCAGGAACAAATGTTGTTCTGCATTTTAATGCTGCTTTAATGCAGAACCTACCACTTCTGCTGCTCTCAGCCCATCAGTCTTGCTGCTTTATATGCTGAAGTCTCGTGTACGACTTTATGGATTGCATGATTATGTGTTGTTTCCCGCTAATAAATGTTTCTTAATGAATAAATCAAGCGGCGATAAAATCTCCTTAAAGGTTCATAAGAAACTCAAAACTAACAATATGAGAACTTACCACAAAAGATGGCCATAAACGAGTAAGTATTTCAGAAATTCATTCAGAATAAGAAATTTAATTTCTGACGAAATGTTTGGAAATAAAAAATATATATTACTATATATCAACATTTTGTATTTCATTAAATACTTTTGAAAACAACTTTTTGCCATATATGAAAATAGTTTTTTAAATTACAATAAACTGAGATATGTTTATCTAATGCTATTCTATTATTCTCAAGAACCTTATAGTCCATACAGGTTGACAATACGAATTAGTTTATTCGATTTAACTATCGTATAAAAGATTTCGTATGAAGATTTGCTTGATTTATTAAAAAAATATAGAGTAACTACAAATGGTACTTCATATCAAGAAGTGAAATTTTATTTTCAAATTAAAATATTTTATTAACTTCTTATTTTGTTTGAAATTAAAACTGTGTTCTCCATTCCTTCCTACTATGTTACATACTCGTATATTCCCTATCAAATTTGTTTTATTATGTATATTTGTATGCAACATCGCTAAATTAAACAGTAAATCGTATATATCATCACGATATATATGTATCATCGTTCATAAAAGTTGACTTTATTATCATTATTTTTAAGATCCATATTTATTTATATATTATTTTTATACATTTTACGTAGTTTTTCTCTCTTTATTTCTTTATTACTTTGATCCAATAATCAGCTCACGTGCCAGTACATTCTTGTTGTTGTTGGTGTTATAGTTTCATTAAATCTGAAAAGTTATAAAAGATGAATAAAAGAATGGAATTGAGTAGGTGAATAAGGGAGGGAGAAAGGTGGTAGTATTGATATAGCCCAGATCCAGGTAAAGGAAATTTGCTATCTGGGGGAGAATCATAAATCAGTAGTTTTCAGTTCTGTGTACATTTCAGTAAGAAAATATATAGGCGTAGTTGAGGAATAGAGCTGCAGCTAAGGCACACATGGTAGTTAGATGTATTTACGCGTAAAAAGCAACAGTTTAGCACGTAGCTACATCCGGGCGTAAATTGGGCTAGGATATTTTTTGCTGCAAGAAGGAGGCTTTATTCACCTTCAGAGATTTCGATCGGTGAACTGTTGAGGACCTTTTTCTAAAACAACCGTGCTGTCAGAGAGAATATTTCTGACTGACAGACCTTATCCATATTGAAGCTCACTGCTCGTTCGAAGTGAGTGAAGTGTGGACTCTGGTTACTGTGGCGCCAGTCTATCTCACATAGCTATGGGGCGAAACTGGAACAACAGAGGCTGCAATAGATTACTTTATATGTGCTCAATAGAATTTCTTTATCTTCTTTCAAAGAACAGCCTGCGAACGCCTTTACAAAATTCGACTGCATAATTTAGGCGCATGTACGGTGAAATTCAGCATGCTGTCAACTACGGCACCCTCTGCCCTTTTACTTAAAGAAAAAAATCGTTTCTTATTTAACCATTGCAATTTAATGCTTTAAAAATATGATTGTTATGCGGAACTCTTGCAATTATACTTAAAGAACATTTATAATGACATAGATTGAATCATGATATATCGGGCCAATATTTTGAACTCTTTATGACTCTACGAGCCACTTAGCGGCAACTACTTTATACAAATCGTACTTAACAGAAACAATAAATATTAACAGTAATTAACAGGTACATTTCAGCGATTTCAATGTAAAAATTGCGATTTCAGAGTCCAATAACTCGAGAACCAACCCTTATCAACAAAACCTTTATAAAAATTTATCGTCAAATTCAAGCAACTTGTAAATCAAAACAACATTTCCTTTACTTTTAAATGGAAAAACAATTAAGTTTAGTTTCCAAAATATTTAATGTGTATTTCTTTATCAAACACTACCACGTTTAATATACCTTAAAATCATATTTTAGAAACTCCTTACCGCATTGCCAATAATATATTTTTATAGGCCTAAGTTTAAGCGCAATATATTTCCTTAAATATCTCAATGCGTTGGCGATAAATGTTGTTGTTATTGATGTGCAATAACATATTTCATGTTGCCATAATTTCATTTCATTTTAATCATTTTGAGTTCAGATACTTCTGTGCAGTTCACTGGACGGTGTTCGTCCATTACGTTTACTCGTGTACTTGTTGCACTATGTATCCTCCTACCTCTCACCACCAAGCCAAACTCCAATTCAATTCACTGACAATTCATAAATTTGCAGCTTAAATGCTGCACCAACTGTAGCACCAACAGCAGCAACTGCAGCAACTGCACCAGCAACAATAAAACAAAACAACAGTTGTTCCTTTACAATTCGCACTGCTACAAATATTTATTTCCATTTTGTTGTTATTGTACTTTTGTTTGAGATTTGTTATTGTTGTTGCTTTTTTGCTCTTTTGCTCTTTGGATCATTGTTGTTGCTGTTCAATTTCAAAATAAAATATATTTTATGCGTTTTGCACATAGTTTGCCATTTTGCCACTTTAGCATTATTGTTATTATGATAAGAGACCGGGCCACATGTCGTCAATGTACCTTGTGTGTGTCTGTTATTGGTGCTGCTACTCAGCACATGCATGCAACATAACAGTGTGCGCTGATTCTGATATTTTTTATGCGTGCTTGTTGTTCTTTATTATTGGTGTTGTTTTTTTTTGTTTTGTTTTTATTATTACCATTTGCAACATTTAGTTTGTGTTGTTTGCTGATCAGCTTGAGATCGCGTTTATTTTACTGCTGCCAAGTCCATATGTTGCCAGAAACGCTTTACTCGACGTTGTTGTTGAAGAGTTTCATGTATTAAAAAAGATTTTCTGGGGGCCAAAGTGTGAATATAATTTAATGTGAGCAATTTTCAATATCTTAGCCTGAAAGATTATTTATTACAGTTGATTGGTTTCAAGTGATCATAAAGTAAGTGATCGTTTTACTTTTTATTGCCTTATAACGTTTTACTCCTTTTTGAATTGTTTTTATTTATAATAAACAATTTTTTATTTAAATTTAAATGTGTACTAGCTTCAATATAGTAGTTCTATATGAACTTGTGCAGGAAGTAAGGTTAAAAGCTGGATTTTTGATGAACTTGAAAACTAGCTTTCGACGTTCATAGATTAGCTGTAGCTTTTAAATAAAAAATCCTACAGGAAATTATTGATCAATTCTAATTTTACCATTAAATTAATATGAACTCTGATCGAGAACGTGAACGAACATACTCATATGTGGAATAATGTAATGGCATTTTCGTAGCAAGATAAAAGTAAGAAGTTGATATATTGAGCAAAGTGGTACGATTACTACTTTAAACTCATAGACTTCAACTAGTTTAATAAAAATATTCTTGTCATAGTAATGAAGTAATATATTACAAATACTTTTTGGCAGATTAATATGCATTTAATCGAATTCAACATTCATAAAAACCAAAAGATTTGTTTCACTTCAGCTATAGCCAGATAAATCTAAATATTTTAACCAAGTTCAATTATTTACTTACAGGTCACTGCACTTTAGGTAACTATGCGAAGAGTTCTAACATCGCTTTCAATTGCGACTGCCGCAGTTCTGGAAAGGACGATGAAAATGCCTTCCATCTGATATGTTTCTGTACAGTCTTGCGCGCGGCGTTACCTTACCACTTTAAGGACTTTCTTTTTTGAGAATCTTGGTGAATTGTAAGACCTCTTCTTGAAGAGCATTATAAACTTTGCCAAAAGTTCTAAGTGCCTGAGTTTTTAAATATACGGTAAAACAATGGGCCTGTAGGCCTAAGTGGATATTTTGGGATCGCCGGTATAACTTAATGTAGAGTATAAACAGATCTGTGTCAATTATAGAAAACAACATTGGTTATGTGAACGAATGATTTTAAAATCACATCAATTCTAATTACAATTTCCAGATTAGATAAAGATGATGAACATTGTCCGAAAAGTTTCGATTGATCAATATATTATTCCTATGTTATAAATGTTGTTTATTCAAAATATTAGATTCAAAAATTTTGGACAAACGTCTATAGACCACATAGCAGAGCAGTTTATAGTATAGCAGAGACCACAGTATATTTATTACTATTTTCAGAATGAAGCACTTTGCTTCAAATTTAACAATCCAAATCATATCCTGATTCAGCTTTATGAAAGTGTACTGACTGCAATCCATCGTCTTCATCCACCTCAAATCAAGCATATACACGTATTCAATTAATACAAAATGACTTAATTTATTGATGAATAATTTCATTCCTTAAATCAATTTTGAATCCGCCTTTGCCACTCACAACCACTCACTTCACATTCATTGTCACATATGCAGGAGTTGACATGGAAGCAATAAGGATGCAATTATGAAACTTATGAGTACACATGTTCTGCAAATATTTTTTCTAGTACACACCTGTGAAATCTGAACTCAAGTAAATTGTAAAATTTGTTGTCACATGTTGCGGATAACAAACACGAGTCAACAACGACTCTCTTCAATAATGCTGGAATGGGCCACTAATTGCCGACATGTTCACATATGAAACTTTTGTTACATGTGAGTACTGTTCACATTGCAAATTTGTATGCAATTATTTTAAAATCAAGTTAAAGGATCAAAGTTGTGGGCATACCGAATGGGTGCCTCATAAACTCGTAATTGACGGCGATTATGCTCAATCTGTTGCCAGTGCGCATGAAATGTGCGTGGCATATTTAATTGGCACTGCCACATACCACAAGTGAAATTTTATCATATAATTTCGTATCCAGAGAAGTGATGGACTGACTTTATGACTGACTGCTGACGGTTTTATATGAAGACATTTTTTACCACTGACATGCCAACAGACATATTACATATGAACAAGATGAAATTGTACTCAAACTGCCGTGCATGCAACAACATAATTTATGGTTGTAGTGATATTATTTATGCAAAGTATATCAATTTATTTTTATTATCACAATAAAACTTATTAACTGCGATTAAGTTGAAGGCCATAAAAATTAGATTGGAACGAATTGAAGTATGGCATACCTAAATCAGATTTACTACTAAAAGAATATATTGAAAATATATTTTAAAAGTAGATAAATTGAAAGATACTTAATTGGAATATGATTTATTATAAACACATGAAAGTTACTTATTTTCTATACTGTATGTATACATAAATGAATCATATAAAAATATTTATATACAAATATCTATGTCAGTATATTCCAAAATGAAGTTTCTGCTCAAATATCAAGCAATTTCTTTAATATTGTTTTAATTCAATCTACATTCAAACTCCTATCTGCGAAATACACAATAATACATGCTGAAAGCTACGATTGTTGCATGCAACTATCCATATCCGTATCTGGTGTAGTCCCAGCGGTTGCCACAGAGGGCGTTCTCATTTAAGCTCCATTGTAAATAAAAAGTGCAAGAGAATTTGCCTTGCACTTACGGTGCAAATTCGTTGTTTAGTGTCATTCAGCATTTGAGGTGCAACTTGGTCCATTTGCTATTCCAATACTCTTAGCTAGCAGCCATTACCAATTCTGCGATTTGCAGACAACACAGACGCCCACTGGGTGTGAGTTTTGGCTTTGGTAATTTGTTTATTTACGCTTCTAAGAGATGTGTCTTTAGTCATTTTCTTCAAATATTGGCAGATATGAATTTTTGTTTTATTTACTCAATGATATTATAACTATCATTTATTATATACTAGATGATATTTATAACTCAAAGAAATATCACTTATATATTAAATCTTCAGTAATAGAAGTAAGAGTAATAGAATAATAGAAGCGTAGCCAGTTTTTATAAAATAGAAAATATCTTTTGTAAAAGCTTTCTTTTAGTTCACAAATTTTTTTTAATAAGAGTGAAAGGATTGTGCCACGGAGCGAAAAGGACACAATAGGAAATAATTTGATTAATATGTTTATGTTGAAAGAGAAATATTTTTATTGGTATTATTTTCAAGAGCCTAATTTAAAAACAATTTTTGAAATGAACTGAAACATTCCTTGTAATTGTATGTAAAATGTTGGGCATATTAGATGCATTGAAAAATGCAAGTATCTGGGTAATACCAATTTTGGGTATATGGCTTAGTAAATAAAATAATGAAGTACCTAAAACATTAAATCTGATTTTGGATAAATTTGAACATAAACATATCAGATATTTCGGCGACTCATTCTTGAACGTCGAGAGGCATGTACTACAAGAGATTCGACAAGATAGTCCCTGTCTACCTTCATGCCGTCTTACAAACCAATGTCCCGTTAAGACCATATTAGTTTATAAACTTCCGATTTACTACGGATTGTTATTTATTGTTATTTTTAAAAAAAATCATTGGTAAGATCTTTTGTCCTTGCCTATAAATACACCAAGTAGTAAATTTATTGAGTTTGTAGAAAATTATTGTGTTTATCGAGACTAAATTGAACTTATTTCTGTTCTTCAGCAAAATATATATAAATATATAGTACAGCACTGCATATTGGATTAAAATTTTGAATCTAATCTCTAATCTAATATTTGCTTCAAAATTCTTTATAGTATTTCATATATATTTTCTCCGTAGAATGAAATAATGTAACAATAACTGCATATACATATATATTTTAACTTATATATACTTACAAATTTTTTAAATATTATGTTTAATATAATACTATTATTACTAATATTATCAATACTATTTTCCAATACAATAAATCATTATATATTATTTATTATAAATCATCAAAGTAACCAAACTTCTTATACAGTGGTAGTAGCTCGTGAATTTCATCAATCAAATATTGTTGCTTATAGCAATTTTTTCGATATTCCGCCGATGTCATCACAGGCTCAGAATCACCCGTATAGAATGAACGCCACATAGGCAAAAATGTTGTCAACATGAAAAACACTACAATACATAATAAAAGTATTCCAAATCAAAATATATAGATTAAAATATATATATCAAAATAAATTGAAATACATACCGTAATACTTTTGCCTTAGGAATTGATCTTTCAAGTTTTCGAAAGTTGGTAACTCTCCTTTATATCCAATCTTTTTCAATGTATCCAATAAATTGTCAAAATAATAACGTAAATGTCCATCGAAATGGTGAAGGCGTTGTTCCTTATCCCAAAGCATGATGAATGCATAATTTAAATCATTCACCATAGGACCAACATGAGAAAATTGATAATCCAATATCATGTCATCTTCTAGACTGCCATCTTTAGGATTGTATTTGAACATCATGTTTTTGAAATGAAAATCCCCATGACAAAGTGCATATAACGATCCATCTTGTGGTCCATTGTAGAATTCATTAAATGAAGCAAGACATTTTTCTATTAGATTTGGACGTATTTTCTCAAAGTATAGTTTATACTCTAATAAAACAGGCTGTCCACCAAGCATATTTATGAAATGTGTAATGCCGTTTTGAAAATAATCATCAGCAACCAAATTTTTGAGACTGAACATACTGTATCGAAATTTGTCAAGCATTTTAGCTTTCTACAAAAAAATATTAGCAATACTAAAATGGAATTCAGTTAACTAGCATTAATAAATAAATACCCCGTCTTTGATTAATTTAAAACCTAGTGCATGCCATTTAGCCAATTTCAAGAGCGCCAATCTGCTCTCTGTGATATTTGCTTCACGATCACGTAAGAGAACGTAGCCTAACTTCACAAGATCATCAAAAACTAAACACTTCTTCGGTTCTATACTAGCATGAAGACAACTAATAATAGATATTATGACAATGAATATATTCACATACGGTTTTATTAAAGCAAACTTACTTTGGCCCAAATTTCATATTATCCCCAATGGACTCTAATGTTTTCACGAAATTCGGTATAACATCCCTGTAAATAAGTATTTCAGTTTCGAATGTATGCGATTCTTCAAACACATCCTGTTTATGTTCTGCTTCTGGAAATGTTTTTATAATCAAACATTTCTCGTGTTTTACTCCTTTCTGTTCAAAAATAAGAGCTATACGAAACATAGCACTTCCATAATGATCGCCCTTCATGGTACCGGGAGTGATTTTTAAACTTAATATTTTTAAATTGGCATCCTGAAGGTAATTTCGCAATACATTATTGAAGAAATCCGTATTTAGCCATTGCGGTGGCTCTAGTTCATCGGCATTGTACATATCAGTATTTTCACTCATTTTTATAAGAAACTATTATTCACAATCCGACGGTCCCGGGAAGACTAAGCGTAGATATGTCTGCCTTTTTATATTAAATGCATTTGCTGAATTAAATTCATTTACTTGCATATCAGTTGTAAGCAAACTAATAGATGGAATTATATATATATGTTATCAAATATAATGAATAAACAAACAGTACTGCAATTATATAGTTTAAAGTGCTGATAAGATTAGAAATGTGATAACATTATTAAAACTTTGTGAAGTGTAGTGGCAATGAGGAAAGTAATTCAAGTTCATTGCTTAGAAATCGAGGCAATTGTGAATAAATCAGATAGTTGGACACGCTCTTGGAAGCAGGCTACTTCCCTCAATGGATTACTTGAAATTAATTAAAATGAAGATGTATACGTTTGAGTGAATCTAACATGGATTCGAAGAGATTTCATGTATTTAAAACTATTTAAAAGTAACACTGCTAAAGTGAAGATAACAAATTTTTAAAAGCCAGCGATAGTTTTATTAAAAAAAATTTAAGTGATTGCAGTTTGTTAATAAGTTTGTTTCAGATTCTATGAAATGAAATATGTTCATTTTTTTAAAATTTAATTCTAAATATTTTAATTGTGTCTATAATAATTATACACACAATTTTATGCACATATATATATAAAGTGTTTATACTCAACTATAGAGATAAAAATGTTTAAACTACGTTAAATATTTGATAAAGATAACATACATACTTACGAAATATATTTTATGTGATAAGCTTTTTCTATTACTGGTTGAACGATTTATTTCACAATCACATGTAATTACTTAAGTAGCTGATTATATACTGATCTGTATTATGGAACTGGCATATTAATTATTACATGGAGTATATACTTAAATGTCAAGTTTAAGTCATAATTGATTTAAACACTTAAATGCCGGCATTCCATTACAAGGGAAAAACATCCCATCTATTAACAAAAAAAATACTGCTTAATTAAAATGCTCACTCAATAGACACTATGGATCATTTGTGCTTTCTTGAAATAATAATAATATATATAAAGAGCCAGAAGTTTTTTGTGAAATTTATCCCAATTTTCCCATTTTTTATGCTCTAAAGCATCAAAAGCCATCGTGTGAGTCTTTAACCCACTAAAATTATACTGATTTCACCATTTATTGTTTGATTCACATAAGATTCAACCGTCAAAAGCTACTCTCACCGCAGACTTAGACAGGCTTTCAGAAATAATTAGCAGAAAAACAGCAAACAGACCACGAAGATCAATTGTATTGTAAATTTCATTCCAATTTTTAACTCCCTTTAAGGAGAAGGTTTAAAAGAGTTAAAAAGCTGATATGTGAGCTGATAATGTTCCATAGTATCAACGTCCTTCAAACCAAATGGACACAAACTGTTGTCAGCGAGTCCAATGTGGAAGAGATGTCTGCTGTAAATGGAGTGATCAATATAATCCTTCCGACATAGAGTCATAAGATAACCGACAGCTTTTTACTGATTTCCGATAAGATCTATATGTCTAAGGCCCGAATGTCATTCATTGAAGATTTTTGAAGGAGATGAGTTCCTTATTTAGTATTTCCAAAATGCTAGGCCGGACCAAAATCCGACAGTCACAAAATATGTAACTGATGATTTCATTTGGTTTCAAGCAGATTCAACATTAAAGTTCCTTAGGAAAACTTATTTTATTGTGATAATAATGCAGACCATATTGAGTCATCAGATAACCTATAAATAGTCACAGTTCTATTCTACTCACGAGGATAACACAGTAGAAGATACTGTGAAACCTCTTACAATAAATCTTATATCATTATTTTTAAAATCACCTACTGCAATCCTTACATTCATTATCGATTGGCGTGTTAGGTGCAGTTAGTGGCTTAGTATTTCTTCATAGAAAACAAAAGAAATATTCCCCGTATGAAATTCAAGCATATGGATATAGAGTACAAACTATTACAGATCATACTCCAGAAACTGAGATAGTATTGTATTAGGATGCCTCATTGTATCAACTGTGTAGGTGTTAAAGAGTACCAAAATGAGTAAAGACCTCTACTTCTATGTGTAGTGTAAATTATTAATAATTATGTTGAAGCTGTTTTGAGCTAATGCACTTAAGCACTTGTACTCTTTTTTAACTAGAGATTTTTTCAAAACCCCTCTCTATACCTCGACTGCATTATTGTTTATCACTTCATCAGACTAAGCAATAATTGACCTCAAATCTACATACCTCCCCGAGGAGCCTATAACCATTTTGAGATTTGATAACGCGGTGTTGGTAAGTCTGTCAGTTTTCATAAATAATTTCAGGGCTTTATGTATTTTTTGATGGGATCAATCTTGTCCCTGAGGATATCATTCGTCCTAATGTACCATGGAACTTTGAAAAGTCTCCCAGAGCCTGGCTTTGTGCAATTTCTAGCTGGTGAATAGCAGTGTTTGAAGCTTTGCTAAATGCTACACAACCATATAGAAGTGACAGACGAATTATTTGATTATATATCAGTTATAATGTAACTATCAAAGAAATATATATTACGACAATTTTTTATTAATAGTAAATAATTTTTTTTAATTTCGAATTTAGTTCTAATCATTTAATTAGCGTATAATTAAAGACTCATTAGCGAATTTTCTGCTCAGACTGAAGTTAACGACTATTATGATAGGATAAAATCAACTTTTAATTATGTTAGCAAAATAGCTTTAGAGAAAAAAACAATTTGTTTATAAAATTAATTGATTTTTGTCAGCTGCCTTTTATACTCAAAAAAAAAAGTTATAAAAAATTTTTTAACAGACTTCGATAAAAGCGATTAATTAGCGAATCTCGAATTAGCAAGAGAAGGCTCAGAACTGAAGATGTTAGATTGAAAGGTGAAGATTGTTAGGTGAGAATGAAGAGTGATAAGTGAAGAGTGAGAAATAAAAAATGAAGCTCCAACACTACACAATATAACCATTATATGATTCTGATTAGCATTCACATTTGATATAAATAAATTTCACAGGCGACAAACTGAAGTGAAACGACAAGTGTAAACGAAGGAATTAAGCAACAAACGCGACGCAAACGTTCACGTCTGCGGCTGAGGCTGTGGCTTTGGCAACGCAACGAAACTTGTTCAATTTGCATTGCTAAACGATATTTAAAAATAAAAATGTACATAAAAAAATAAATGTGAAAAAAATTTAATTAAATTTATTAAATCATTTTAATGATAGTTATTAATTACCTATAATGGTTATTATTAAAATTTGTTATTGATTCTAGAAAATACTTGCCGCTCACCGCTCGCCGCTGCATGGCTATTAAAAATGTGGTTAAGCGATTTTTTATGAAAATTAATTATTAGTCATGAATATTTTTCCTTTTTTACGGCCAAATGCATATGAAGTTGTTATTTTTAATTTGCATTTTAATTTCCGCTAAACAAGGCAATTTGCATGTAATAAAATATGAATAATTAGCACACATTTTATACTTTGTTTGTGTTCTTAAACGATATTACTTCCTGCCTAAAACCCAAAGCCCAAAACGCAAAACTGCTCGCATCATCGCAAGCTCGCAATCATTCGCAAGAAAAGGGTTTTCATAAGGAATATTTCGGTGGAAGGAAAATTAACTTGTCATTCTCGTCACCATTAATAACCGAAGACAGACGCTTTTGACTTTAACTGTTTTGCGAAATGAGTTCAATTTGTTCAAATTGTTGCTTCTGCTTATTGCGAGGGTCATACGATATGGCAGTAGTTGAAATTCCAACGAACTTCATAACTTATACACAACTGGCAGTGGTACGACATACATATCGGAATTAATTTAATAAATGTAATAATATATTACACAATACCCTTATACTGACCAGCAGTAAACAACGCAATGAGACTGTCATATTTTAATGTTCCTCAGTCCTTATACAATGTATTGCCTTTGTACTACATTACAATTTATCTTTTTTATTGAGACTCCACTTTACAGAAGCAATAAACCATAAGAGTTTATTTTCATAATTGAACATAATTACAGTCAAATTCTACAGTAAATTATTTAAAAGGTTTTTAATGTAAGACTATTGTAAATAAAAATAGTCTAGTATTTCAAATTCACTATGTTTAGTTTAGTATGCTAAGTAGCTTTCTTCAGAGTTTACTTTATTTTATTAGATCACTTGTATATTGTATTATTTTTCTTAATACATCCTTTGTTTAGTACTCTTACCTACACTTCAAAGAACAGTTAGCATTTTTTATAAACTGTATTGCTACTACTAATCCACTTTTAGGTCCTAAGTAACTTTTCGGCTTCATTTCATAGTTTTGTTATGGTGTATCTTTACCTACATTTCGTAGAACAGTTAACGTAGCCTTATAAATTGTGCATCTATCCACACTTTTAAGTCTGGTTGAAGGCGTTAAGGAAACGTTAAGTATTTCTGTGAGACGGGCTGGCAGTTTCCTACCTTAGTGCTGTTAGCTGGCACTTTTGTATTATATATACTATTTTCCCATTGCTTTCATTTTTAGTGCTGTCAAAAATATCTTTACCTACATTCAAAAGTTAGTTAGGGATATAACTAATACGCGAAAACATTATAATCTATATACTGCTTTTAAGACCCAATCCTTAGAATTAATGTTATTTTGAAAATAATTAAAAAAATAATTTATGGATTATGGATGTTGAATGACAATCCATACAGGTTTTTATAATAAAATTCATCTATTAAAAACTCTTCAATGTCTACAATTTTCATGGTATTTCAAACTAAACACTTCCGATTTTCTGAGGCTAACATACATTATCAGTCCAAAAATTATATACGAGTATTAAGCCCACAAATACTTCCAAAATCCAATGATACTGAATATTAGACGATATTCTAAACAACTGTTTGGTGACACAACTATATAAAAGTATTTTTACATTATATATTATATATTACATAAAAGCAATTTAAAACCTTTAAAATCTCTAAACTATTATTGCTTAAATTACAAATCCATACTATGAACATTTTCCCATCATAAGCTCGTGTACTGTGATTAATTACCAATAAAGCGAGTAGAAGTAAAAAATAATCACTGAACAAAGGTTGTGAACTCAATCACTGACAACTCTTTTAAAGCCATTAAACAAATATTTTACAGCAGAACGCAGAGCCCCACATACGAGATCGCCGCTCCATATGCACAGTTACCAATTTCCAACTCGAGTACAAAAGAAACAGAATCGGTTGTGGCGCCAATGTAAAGTTGGTAACGCAAACGCCATCAACTCCAACCACAAACATCAAGCAGCAGGCATCAAGCTTTCTTAGCCATTCAAACCACAGTTTCCTTTGAATTCATTTCGAAAGCAGCAAGAAGAAGAAAATGTAAATGGGAAAGCACCGAACGTAGCGCAAACGCTTTGAGTTGATGAGTTCATGAAGTGAAATTCGATTTCGTTTTAACGGTTCGAAATGACAAATTGCAACGTGCAGTCTGTAATTATGCGCATACAGCCAGCTTGGCTAAATCCGCAGGCGGCTTAACCCGGGTCTCAGCCAGCACAAAAGTTAATAACAAATCCAAAAGTTTGCGTTGACAATGCGGTTGACGCTGCTAATGACGAAAGGCTGACGCACCAAATTAATTGTCTCTGATTGATGAGTTGGTAAGTGGACAACTGGACAAGTGGACAAGTGCAAACTGATAAAAGATACAAAACGAATGAATATGTCAAAAAAGCAAAACTGTTAACACAGCACGGAGGCTGCTTCGCTTTGAATTGAGTTTTTTTCTTATATGATTTCGTAAGCAAATTAACGCATTAAATTATTAAACATAAACTTTTGATTTCGATTAATTATGCTAAGTTGTCATATCGCAGCCGATCAAATCGTGCTTACGCAGTTGAGTCAAAACTTAATACCTCATTTGCATACCGAAAGCTGCAATGCGAAATTAGCTTTAACCGTTGGCCAACATTTCAAATCGGGCAAATCGATCTTTGGCACTTTTTGCACCGTTTAATTGCCTCTCATTTATCTCATGTTTAACTAAGCGAATTTTCATTAAATTTCAAATCGCTTATCTAGTGATTTAAATCGCTTGATTAAATTCGTTTAAATTAATTTGAAAGCGTTGAACAGCAGCGCACATAACCCAAAGTCAAAAACCACTAAAATCTGCGGATTAATTTTGAGGTGTAAGGCGTTTTGTACGAACGATTTGTGCGTACAACTCTTAATTTTATTTTTTTTGGAAATTAACGCATATAATTTATAATTTTTTTCTGCTATTCATGAAAAATCCGTAGTATCACAACGACCCGTTATTTGTGCTCAAGTCAGGTTTACTACATAAGACTGCCACTCCGGCCTAACTGAACAACTTATCTAATGGTCTAACAGTCTCTAATAAAATCCTCACACTCAACAGCGAAGTGTGAAGAATTTTACTCCAAATTTATAAAAAGATCAGTTTATAAACTGAATAATATCCATATAAATGACAAACTTAACATATTACTCCCTATAATATTTAGACCAATACAAAATCATGATAAGTGCTCACTGAAAGCTTAAGCAGAGAGAATATCAACAATTTTAACGGGTTTTAACAGAACATTTCAGGTTGAGGTAATATCTCAAGAAAATCGACTTTTCAGCGACCAGTATTTCTTTCTTTCGTACAATAATTGTTAAAACGTGTGACCTTAGTCACACTTCAAAAAAACTTCCAACATAATTAGTGACAATTAATCTTCTCCTAAGTCATATCCTATACTTTAATCATTTCCGGTAATATTCTAGTAATGTTGAGTCTTTTTCGAGTTAGTGCATCTGAGCACTTTTACTCTTTGATAGCTGGCTAGTTTCTACAGAATCTCACCCATCTCACTGACTAATTTGAAAATTCCTCATAATCTTCGTGATTATTCAATGACTGATCTAAGATTTGCGTACCGCCCCGTACGATTAGTGATTACTCTGAAATTAGATAGTACGTTTCAACAATAATCTAAAATTTTTGTAGTGGTTTCAATAGACATTTTTATTTTTTATGAATACATATGTCGAATCAAATCACACTTTACCTGTCAAGTCATATAAAACACCTGTAAATTTCAGACTAATCTTCCTACTCTGGCAAAATATTTAGAGTGTTATAAATTAATTGCGAGTGTTATAAATTAATTGCGAGTGTTATACATTTCGCTCTAGGTTTAGCAATCGAGAATGAAAGCTACACTAAATATGAATATGTTTTGAAAAAGTTACCCTAGATTTAATAATCGACAACGGCTAAAGATTAATTGAACGTGCCTAAAAGTATGCTATAAAATTACTCACTTCACCCATTCCTTTAAAAATTTACCAGGCCTTTAAAAATTTGAAATGATTGTATTATTTATGCCAAAAAATGGACCAATATACAGTTACTAGCTACTGTTAAGAAAAATATTATTTCAAAACTTTATAAGATATGATAAGTTTGACAAACTTTTGATCATTACTTGGAGAATAACAATTAATAAAAAAACGATCACAAACTGATTTACAATAGAAAATAAATAAACTTAAAACAGTGAAAGAATTTAATACATTTTCTGTAAATTCTATATGTAAGAAACTCGTTATTGACTTATATATCAAATCTAAAAAATATCGTGCAGTGCAAATATTCCAAAATCAATAAATTGCCTAGAAAAAAATTAAAATTGCAATAGACAGTTAATTTAATATGTATACCATGCAGAGAACATAAGTGAAAATTTTATATAAATATTTAATTTTAAAAATCATTTTAGTTAAGTAAAAACCCACACAGTCAATATAATACAGCAAGGCGTTAATAATACTGAGCACTGTTTAGAAGTATTTAGGATTGGTAGGAAAAATTTTTACATGCGATATATTACCATCAATATTTCATAAGATACAGTAAAGTATATCTTAAGTATGTGAAGCAATATCAGTATAGTTTTGTACCCTTAGAATAATCTCAAATGCACCTAGATATATGACAAATGAATGTATCAACCTCGATCGCAACATCTCCGTAGTTAAGGATGTTATAAAAAGCCAATCCAGAAATCACAAAAAACGTTTGTCATATCATCCTAACCAATTTATTAGTAGAATTATAGCATAAGAAAGAAAGTTCACAGGTCTCCGCAAACAAACGCCACTGGAACTTTTATCTGTGAACGACTTCAACAGACGGATGTGCTACTGAGCACAAACCATTCACGCCCACAGAAATTTTAAGTATTTAGTCTCTTCTTCTTAAATATTGTTCATTGTCTATTTTTAAGTGTCACATCGTAATAAAAGAAAATAAATTTAAAAAAAAAGCGACAAACTTCTAAAGTCGTACGGTCTTCATATACGATATTTAGCAAGTCCAATAAAAGTTCCAAGCATACTCAAAGGCAAGATATATCCATTCAAACACATTTTAGAACTTGACGTACAGATCGTAAAATTACGTTCTTAGAGGATTATAACAACCAAAATTTACGATGTTTCCAAATTTGCTAGGTATGGTCAGTGGATCACACTAGTGTTCCTGTTGCAAGATATTTTTACTGTTTCCACCGCAATTCGGAACAAGAAATATATATAGCCTTGTGTTTGTGTTTTAAATTCTAAGACAAAATATATATTCCAGCATTAAATTTTCTTGATATTATTTATTTTATGTATAACGAATATGGATTATTGTTTTGTTTGTGTGACCTTAATTTGGTCTTTGACTTTTCACCACGTCTTTACAATCTGTAAAACTTTTGATATTGCTAAAAATAAAATGAAATTCCAAACATCTAATGGCACTGAATACCACCAAATACCATAATGAATACAATATTGTATATGTAGTAAAACTTATTCTATATAGTATAATACTAGCTTTCACAATAGACTTTCACAATTTTCTTTTCATTTATATGGCGAATATATTTTGCAAATTAATGTCCAAATGGCACACATTATCTTCGTTTAAGTATGTAATTACAGTTCGGCTCTTAAGAATTTTTCAAAGGTTCTATATGATTTCTAACTTTTAAATTTTTATATGTTTTTACTATGTATAAATCGCCCTAAGTAGATTGATTCTTAAAATCGTGAATATTAACCAACTTATCCTACACATCGACTTATTACACTCTCTAGCCAACATCAGTAACCAAGAGGGGGGTAAATAATCGAAATGACAGCCATCAAAACAAAAAGGATTCAGTATGGACCACTTTGATGTAATCGATTTATGCGATCGCCGAAGTTGTCGCATCCCCAGCTTTAGCAGGTGAATGCATCTGACTTTAATCAAGTATTGTATTTAAACCAAGTATTTAAATAAATGGTATATGCACAACAATAAACAAATCTAGTACCTTGAACTGCAGAGGGTAGCAGTCTAACTGACGTTGGGTTGACAATTTACCCGGTGAAAAATAATACGAAGGTTTGTAAAAATTTTATGTAATTAAAAAACAGAAGCAATGAATATCCAGACAATATTGTTTAGATGACGTTGTTTAAAAACAACTAAAAAATCCATTATCGCCATAAAAATAATAACACAAAGTCAAATTTTATCGCACAAACAATTAAATTAAATTAAATTATTTTTACATTTAAATTAAATTATAAAATTCGTATAGAGAATTACCTAAACAATATATCGCCTCCCGTAAAAGTTTTCTGACGCTGTTCAACTTTCCGAATTCACTTAATTTCACTTATAGAGTTTTTGTTATTTTGTCAAGCAGCACAAGCTTAAATTAAATAATAAAAATATTCATTTTTTTTTTTTGCACTTACTGAAAGATCACTAAAATTCTGAAATGTTTAAAATTATATGAAAAAAAATATAAACAGACACGAGAGTGAGGGCAAATAAAAAAACGCAAAACGCAAATAACAAATGTTAAACAGACTTTAGACTGACTTGCGACAATCGAATGACTAAATAGCTAAGCTCATATCGCCAGTCATCAGCCAATGGAGAGATAGATTCGATGGAGGAAAACATCTTTCACACCGTGAGTATGCAAATTATTTTTGCAAAAGCTAGCGTGAAATTCGCTTATCTGTGATAGTTCCAAGCTATACTTTGTCTACGTGCCCGACTTCAGCTTTTGCCATTTACAAGCATCGTGACGATTCTAATAAAGTAAAATTACAACGAATGTGAATGAGTAACGAAAAGAAAAACGAAACTAAATGAATTAATAGCATATGATCATCACGACGTGAAGGGAATGATATATTGATGATGTGTAAGTAACGATGCAACCTCACGTGTATACGATATACGAGGCAAAATAATAACAGCATTTGACTTCGGTGCTGTTATAAATGAAAAACCTTTATCGTCATTACGATCAAATAATAATCATGAAAAAATACATAAAAAATAGAATACTGATCTGACAGAAGTTATTTTCGTTCTTCCCGCTCTTATCGCCCCTATAATATATGTCTTTATCTAGTGTTTTCTCAACTCCTACACCTATATTGAAATATCGTACGTCTTTAAATGTTAGTGATATCGCATCACAATCACATTGCTGCAATTGTGAACCCGATTAACTAATCATAAATACCTGCGATTGCCCCAAACATCAATTTCAATATATGTCAGTCAACATCCTTTTGATGATGACACCAGTAGCCGCGAAATTATTTGCGAAAACTTACAGACTTACCAACACCGCGTTATCGAATTTTAGAATGGTTATAGGCTCCTTTGGAAACTTGCAGATCTGAGGTCAATTATTGCTTAGTCTGATGAAGTGATAAACAGTAATCCAGTCAAGATGTAAAGAGGGGTTTTGAAGATGCCTCGAGTTAATAAAGAGTAAAAGTGCTCAAATGTACTGGCTCAAATAGCTTCAACATAAACCAGTAGCGTGACCAGGATTGCGCCAAGGGTGGGATTTGCACTGTTATTAATTAGATCATTATACCTGTGAGATTATATTTTCAAAGGAGCATCTAACGCTAAAATTTCTCCTACTTGCGCTACCACGTGTCTCGGAGAATTGATACGCAGACTTGTCAAGTGATTGGTCTTACTTGCCTGTCACTGTCTACTACAATTGCCATACCGACCGGCAGAGTTAACTATAATTTTTTCGCTGACTGCAACTTGAAAGTTGAAAATGTATGTAAAAGAGTCAAGAGAGGTTCCTGTGCCTGTGTATGATATTGCAATTTTTTCTTAAAGAAATACCCCTAAGAATACGAGAATGAAGCTTGACCGCATAGTAGAAATTTGAATACAACACAGTTTAGAAGAAAAATTTGTTGACAGAACACTGTCTAATAAGCAGACACGCTTAACGGATCTTTTAGTGACTTCTATCGGAACTGTGTGTCTGATGTGGAAGGATAATATCAATTCACTGTAGATTCCAAATCGTTAAGTTTTTATCCGATATTTCTTATGTAGGACATCAGGTACATAACATTACGCGTTTTATGTCAAAGCAGTGGTATTCTAACAAACAACAACAAAGGGGTATATTTAACTAAAATTCTTTAAACTGACTACTTCATACATCTCTGAGGAAATATTTTCATTTATTAGAGAATTAATAAACCCATCTTTTCATTCATGACAGGAGCTGCAATTTTCGATATCTGAGTTAATTAGTTTAAAAATGATATTGAGAATTTTTGGTGATAATCTGTATCAACACCTTAGATGGATAATTATATATTTAGGAGTCTTGAGTATTTGAGAAAGTGCTGTAAACTTTTTTCTCTATTTTAATTACATTCTCATCCGCTATTATCTTATTGTTCTTCATGTCTAATTCGATACGTTATATGTTTGTTTAGTAGCGAAAAACAATTAAAAACCATAAATGAAATACTAATCCTGAGATATCCAATAGAGGGAATTTTTCTTAGGTATTACAGATATTAAAAATTTTTCTGAAACTATTTCAGATATTGAAAATCTTTTTGAATTTTATTTTAAAAATTAAAAAACTTAAAAACCAAATTACAACATCTGAAAATTACTAGGATGGACTTCTATCCAAAAGTCCAATACACATAACCTACCCGATATATGAAATCTAAATTGTTTTACTATACAATAGAAATTGAGAAAAAAATCGGCTGATATGCTTTGCGAATGATGAAATCTAACTTCGCAATTACCTTATCTGCTGTTACGAAGCGAAAATGATTTGGTAACGAGTGATTAATTTATTTGGAAATTTAATTTAAAAAACATTGTAGATGATAATACAGGCTCCCAGCGCGCCTAATCTGATTTGGGTTTAGACTTTTGTTTCCTTGAACTGTAATCGACAACTAAGTGTGGAGTGATAATAGATATGGGGAAAAACAATTTGCGTTGCAATTCATAACTAAATTAGATTTTATTAATTAGATATATTATGGAATATACAAATTTATTCATTACTTTTTATCTTATAATTATCTTATAAAAACAAATTGTAGATTAATTATAACTATTTTAGGAAATTAAATGCAAACTACGCCATTTCCATTACCACTAAAATTTTTATTATTCCAAACTAAAGGTTATTATTTTCCATATTTATATAATATACTATTATTTGTATCTTTAAATATAGAGTTTTTTATACATTTAAATATAGAGCTTTTTTTTAACAATTAACAATTTTTAATTTTCTCTAAAAAGACAATATTGGCTTTTCTGATAGTTAGATTTAAAAACAGTTAATAAATAAACAAAATGGTTAGTTTCTAGTTAAAGAAGATAGTCATAATCCCAATTACTGCTGTTAAAGAAAATAAATTAACCCAACTTATCTTATTACATATTATATTTACAATGAAAAGCTCATTAGCCTATTTTTGTATGAATTTTGTATGAAAAATGCCACTTCCTTACACATATGTTAAGGAAATTGCGTTGGTGTGAACCCATTGTAATATTGCAAATAATAACCCTTTTAAACCCATTTATGGTTTTACACATAATAATGGCTATATGAAAGAATCAATATTCTATTTTTTAAAGAAGCTCTTAAGTTTCTAAATGAAGGTGGCGCCAAGTAACGCAAAATCCCTCCAATTCTATATTCTTTATTAGAATGACGAGTCAAATCGATTAAGCGACAGGTGTCTATTCAGTGGGTTGTGCAAAAATAGTCTCCTTAAAGTGAGAGTTTGGACTTTGACTAATTAAGGTTTTTAATCTAATATATCTAATTTAATTCTTACATCAAAAAAACAAGTTAGAAAAGACATTTATCTTAAAAGAAATTTGTAATTTAGAAATAATGTAACTGCAACCCAATTAACTTGGCTACTTTTTGTTACTGAAATATATCACACGATACAGAACCACAATCATTAATACATTAAAAAAATTTTGCAACCAATCAGCCCATTGATTAAGTATTTCACTAATTAACTACTGTCAAACGAAATAAAAATAATAATATAATGAATTAAATAATTATATGGTATATGCAAAATGCGATGTTAGGATTTTGAGTTATTTGAAACAATTGATCAATGTATAAACATTAATTGCGACTAAACTTACAACTAATAATTAATTAACGAAGAGACTAATATGATTTTTGCACAATAGCTAAAACCACTTTTGGTAATTTAAATTTAGTCGTTTCCATTAGCATAAACTGATTTATTCATGTTAAGTAGCTTGTTTCTTTACATTTTACATATAGTTAAAATACATGACAAATTTCTTAAATTTTGGTAATTTCCCTTGTTGCAAATTTATTCGTAAAAATTGCATTTGATATTTTTCGCATTAAATTAGTTGATTTATTTATAATGAGCTTATTTGTGTGAACGCTCTTTGTATGGTAAACTATTTTTATTAGCGGCCTAAATGAGATAAACGGAAAAATGGCATTATAAGCTGATTACTCTGCTTCAAATCTCTAATTTAGACATTAATTCTAAATATTATGTATGAAATTCTCTAAAAGAATATTTTTTTTAATAGGAAGAAAGCATTGCAACCCTTCGCATGAGCCTTCAACTCATTAAAATCAAATTTTAGGAATGATTTCAGAAAGAAAATATCATTAGACCCTAAAGTCAACTATTTGAAAACGAATATATGTTAAGTTTGATTTATTATATTTTACAATTTTTACCAGTTATTTTTGTACATATGCTTCTTCTATGAAATCTATTTAAAACTTTTGAAATACTAAAAGTGCTTCAAATTCCAAATTCATTTATTAAAATATATATATAAACCATGTAGTCACTAATTAATTCTCTCTCTCTTTTTTCCTTGTCTCCCAGTGGAGCATAAGGCCTCTACCATAGTTTTATATCGAATTCGGTTATTTGATTCGCGTCATATATCACTCCAGGAATAGTTCGCTCCTCTTAATTCTTCTTCAATTGTTCTTCTCCAAGTTTTAGCTGGTGCTCCAGGTCCTCGGCTGCCTTGAGGATTCCATCTCATTTATTATATTTTACAATTTCTACCGGTTATTTTTGTACATATGCTTCTTATATGAAATCTATTTAAAACTTTTGAAGTACTAGAAGTGCTTCAAATTAGAAATTCATTTATCAAAATATATATATAAACAATGTAGTCACTAATTAATTAGCAATTTTTAAATAAATTAACACACCCACAGCAACGCAATGGCGACTAATCTTTTTATTAAATCAAGCAATCAATACTAAAATTTTGATAATTAAACAACTTCGGACCCTGATCTTCGATTTTTAATCTGGTTGCGTTTTTCTAATAAAAAGATTACGAGTAAGTTAGGGCACGGGCAACAAAAACAACAATGAATGTGTTGTACCAGCTAAAAATAAGATATTAAATATTGATATTAGAGAATTTGGACTTTGTGCCATCTTTCGGCTCCCCACCAAGCGCACACAACCCATTGGCTAGTTACTCATCTCCAGATAAGCATGGAAGAAAAAAAATTTATGAATTGGTCTAAGCAAAAGAACACGTTTGCCGCATGTGAATGGCTAAGCTCTCTTATCTCGCTGGAGTAAAAAGACTGATAAAGCGAAAAAAACTAGCGGACAGTATCAGGTCTAGACTTAATTAATCTCTCCAAAACGAATACAAATAAAAAAATGTCAATTCTGATTATAAAAGCAAATTTGGCAAAAACATTTTAGATTTTGCCGGTGGAAAGCCAAATGCGAACGTGTAAGTGCACCATTTGTAAACAAAAGAAAATAAAAAATAAAAGATTAGCACAAAAATAATAATAAAAATAAAAATCTTGGTGAGAGTGAGAATTGCTAATAGACGAGAAAAAAATGAGCTAAGCAAAGTAAACCAACAAAAACTATAAATAAAAATTGTGAACATTAAAGAATCGTAAGCTTTTCGCATTTTAATTTTGGTTGGTGAAGACGTGTTTTTTATTTGCAAAGCCGGTAGAAAAAACGCAAATTTTTTTGAAAAATATTTTTAAAAAATTTTTTTATTTATAAAATTTAAATTTGATTTGTGTTAAATATTTTAACGGTAAGATTAAAATTTTTCTAAACGCAGCAATTTTTAAGAATTTAATGAAATTATCTAAGTGATTGAATAACAGCGGTGTTAATTAGATTTTTTCCTTTCTAAAATTTTTGCAAGTGCTTGAATAAAATAAATAATAAATATTTTCTTGTTCAAATGAATTAATTTTTGAAAAAACTGTTTGAATTACGTCCGATATGGGATGAATTATGTGCACGTGTCCATTGCAAAAGTACACGTCGCCATTTTAAAGCCCCGTTCAATTTCGGCCAAATTTGACAATTGCTCAATGTACTCGTTTTACTAGTGATTTTTTTAATTACCAAAAAAAAAAAACCAAATTCTATATAAATATAAAAAGAAATGTTATTTTATTGCTATACTATTAAGTATTATTGTTTTGTGCATAAAATATAACTATAAAACTTTCTAACAGAAGAAGTAAGAAGACAGTGATTTTAGTACAGAATCACTGTTACTAAGCACTTGAAACTTGTGGTTGCTATGCTAAAAGCATAATTATGCTACCTGCTTGCCACAGTTAACAGCGCTGCTAAATGGCAATAACATTTGTGCATTTCCATACATTTGATATAAAAGTTTTTAACAAAATTTTATGTCAGTTAGTTATTTCATTTATATTTTTTAACGAAGCTTATGTAGAAAATATAAATAAATATTTTCCAACAGTTTTTTTTAACATATGAGGAGGAAACCCTTAAATAATTTTAATTTAAATATATATTAAATTTAAATTTAGCTATTTATTTGTTCTCATACCCCCTTTTTTTCATTGTTTTGAAATCAGTTTTCACAAATTTTTAATATCAAAATTATAAAAAATTTTGTGGAAACTGAGAAAATATGTAATTAAAAATTTGTAAATTAAATACTGTTTCATATATACAATAATCTTGTGATTTTGTAAAAATATATAACTAAAAATTTATTCATTAAATTTTGCTTTGCAATATTTTACTTTTTTCAAAAAATTCCTTTTACTTGAAGCCTTTTCTAATATTTATTTAGTTCCTATTGGTCTTTGTTTTACAGAAAAAAAACTTTAGTAAAAACATTATAATAGCATAATAATACTTATTAAAATAATTAGGTCAGACATTGAAAATAACTTCAAATTAAAATAAATTGTTAATTTCATAAAAATTAGACAGAATTCATTAATGATTTCTTAATTATTAATAGTGTTCTTATTTGCTTGAGAAAACGCAAGTTAGTGTCTGAAACGCCTTTATTCAATAGTGTCAGCAACCACTTGGGTTATCCATTGTAACAAAAGCTCCTTTGAATGCCGATAAAAACTGTTTCAGGTACATTTAAAGAAGCATAGTTTGAAACCCAGTATATCTTAATAACGATGCGTTTGATTTAAGAGAGTGTAATTGTGAATTATTGTGAGCATCCAAAGCATGAAACACGATAGTCAAATTTAAAATAATAATAATCTTATTTCTTTGTAAATTTAACATTTACTTATATTCATTATATTCATTTATATATATTAAAACAAAAACAGCAACAAAATATGATAATAGTAACAGTAACAGTAGTTAAATAGCAAAAGTAAATTATAACAAATACCCACTTTAATAGAAAGAAATATAGAAGTGAAAAACTATCATTATAAAAAAACGAAATAACAAAAATTAGTTGCTCTTTTCATTTCAGTGACTTAATAAAACAAACAAAAACATCTTATATACATATATAAATAAACATTTAAATACAACGAACTTTGGTATCCACCAGTCTGAACTCAGAAACACTGAAAAAAGAGAAAAAAATTTTCTCTTCTTGAAACATTAGGTTTTACTATAAACAATTAATTTTGTTGTGCAAAATTTATTTTCACCACCGATAAATGTCACATCTAATACAACCCCTAAATATCACAACACCACGTATTTCATGTTGAACGGTTGTCGCCAAATTTCCTAGTGGGTCTACCATAAATGTACAATGTAAACATATATTCTTGCTCCCACTTGTTTGCAACCACAATAGATAAGAGAAAATAATATTACTTTACCAAACGCAAAAAAAGTGCACAATATTGTACATTGAAAAAAAAAAGATACAATTTATTAATTGAAATAAATGTAAATTGAAATTTATCTATACAATTACGCCACTATTCCGTTGAAAAGCTACCCACAAGTAGCATCAAATGCACACAACTTTCACGTGATTGTTGTTTGTGTTTTCCTGGTGGTTTGTTCAACGATTCTTATTAGAATTTTTTTAGTATATTACATTCTGAACTAACACAATAAACGACATTGTTTTGATTCTCGGAATACAAACTTGAAAGAAAAAAAAACGTAAAAATTTGATAACAAATGCCATAAATTAGTTTAGCACGTTTAGTAATATTTCCACTACTTACACGCATTTTAATAAATAATATTTAATATTTTAGCTTAATCATGCCGCCAAGAGATGTTGCTTTGCTTAACAACACTGATTCGCTGTTGTCAAGCGCCGAATTAAGTAAATCTGCGGGCTCCAAGCAAACCGGTGTCTTGTTCGAGTGCGATGCTGATACGACCGATGGAGCCCTTGCGACCGATATACGCCAATACAAGAAAGCAGAGAAGCGTAAGCTGAAGTTGGTGTGGCGGAATATCATTTTGTTTGGATATTTGCATGTAGCTGCGCTGTACGGTGGTTGGCTCTTCTTCACCTCAGCTAAATGGGCTACAGTATTTTTCTGTAAGTAAAAAAATTAAATAACTGTTATTGAATACGTTTAAGTACTAAAGTAAATATAAGTGATTATTGTGAGAGTGTAAATAGTGGATTTAGAAAAAGAGTACCATGAACAATGAAAAAGTATGAAAGAATTGAATAATATAATAATAGAAGTTGGCTTTAAGAATGATATTTGAAACACATAGAAAACATAAAGATTAGAAGTACCATTAACGTCAAAAGAAATGAAGAGGACTAATGGAGAGTAATGGATTCGTGGACTATTTGTTTTAAACTCAAAAAATCAACGGACAATTACTTGAGTTTAAAATAGTTAGTCCACATTCAACGGAAAGAATTATATATCGAATAAAATTAAGAACTAATTTTTAATTATTAAACACAATCTTCCTTTGTAGCTACAATAATGTATTCATCTTAATAGAAATACTTTTCTCTTCAAAATACAAACCAATCAATATATGTATAAAACTAATAAATAAATAATATTAAAATAAATAACTAATGAACTGACCTCATTTACTACTTGCAGCTATATTTTTATATTCCATTGGAGTGTTGGGCATAACTGCCGGCGCTCATCGCTTATGGGCACATCGTTCTTACAAAGCTAAATGGCCACTACGTGTTATTTTGATCATTTTCAACACAGTTGCTTTCCAAGATGCAGCTTATCATTGGGCACGTGATCATCGTGTACATCATAAATTCTCTGAAACTGATGCTGACCCACATAATGCTACTCGTGGTCTTTTCTTCTCACACGTTGGCTGGTTGCTCTGCAAAAAACATCCTGACGTTAAGGCTAAAGGCAGAGGTCTTGACTTAACCGATTTACGTGCTGATCCAATTTTGATGTTCCAAAAGAAGTACGTACAAACTTCCCATAAATCCCATAAAAAAATCTAATCAATTACATTAAATATTTTTAGATACTATCTAACTCTCATGCCTTTGGCATGCTTCATTTTACCAACAATCATACCCATGCTATGCTGGAATGAATCTTTCATCAATTCTTGGTTTGTTGCAACCATGTTCCGTTGGTGCTTCTTGTTGAACGTTACTTGGTGTGTAAACAGCGTAGCACATAAATTCGGTGGACGTCCATATGATAAGTAAGCAAAATTTTCTATTTGTTTTCTTATGTAGCATATATTTATTTGCCTATGTATAATTTATTAGAACCATCAATGCATCTGAAAATCCAGGTGTTGCTGCTTTTGCATTTGGCGAAGGTTGGCATAATTATCATCATGTGTTCCCTTGGGATTACAAAACAGCTGAATGGGGTAACTACACCATGAATCTAACGACAGCTTTCATTGATTTCTTTGCCAAGATTGGTTGGGCTTATGATCTAAAATCGGTTGCACCAGAAACAATTGAGAAACGTGTTAAACGCACCGGTGATGGTTCACATGAATTGTGGGGCTGGGGCGACAAAGATTTAAGCCCTGAAGATGAGAAAGATGTATTGATCATCAATAAGAAAACTGAGTAAATGCTACGATACGCAGCTGCTGTGCACTTATATTTTATAGAATTCATTTGCATGCAAACATTTAAAGCAATTAATTCTACTTTTATAAAAAGTAAATTGTTAATCTGTTATTGGCACTACATTATCAAATGTAATTGTATTTAATCCGATTAAAATATTATCGAAAGTAGAAGAAATTGAACTCATGTCATTTTTATTATTACGTTAAATTATACTATATATTTATTATACTTTAAAAGAAAAGGTGTAGACTTAAAGACTTAACAATTAAAAAATGTGATTTAAATATAAATTTCAGAATTTTATTTTTACAAAAATTTAATATTTACCAAGAAAATTATGAACTTTGACACCACATAAGATTAGCTGAATTGAGAAGTTTTAGTTATTGGTGTAAACTAAGTGTAACACATGGTGGAACACCCGTCATGAAAGTGGCTCTCACAATCCTCCACGAGAACAAAGCGGTCATTAATGTTGTTGAGTGCCTTGTGCAACAATAGAATTTTTTATTTTCTGAAATTACTTACTTTTTGGATTAAACTAGGTGAAACTGTTTTTAAAAATCTATTATTAATAAAAGAAATTTATTTTTATGCTGTACTGTTGCACAATGTTGCTCTATGTTTTATATCGTATGCCAAGCCAAATTCACTTTATTTTTATTTACAACAAAAACTCAGTTCATCGGCAAATATAAATATTTTAGATTGGCTGGCGCCAAAACACAAAACTGATCGATTAAACAACACAAATATTTGACATTTGAGCAACAAATAAACAAACAGAACAGTGTTGGAAAGTCACGAAACAAAATAAGATCAAATTGTGGACGAGAACTCGATGAGATGAAGATTTGGAAAAAAGTACACATTTATATTGGACAAGATAAACCCATTTAACAATTTGAAAACTTTATTAGTATAAAAAGCATAGAATGAAAATAACAATTAATTCACAAAACTGTGTGCTTATATATTATTCCGCACACTAACATAAAATATAGCTTACATATATATAGCTTACAAAGCACTAAATTTATAAGTTCCATACTCTTAAAATGTGTCATTAGCACTTTCATATTCCAATAATTTTTGTTTAATCTGGCTTCCAAAACGGTACTTGAATTTGCTGCCACTTTTAGATATTACCCTATGGCATGGTATCACAACTGCAATATCATTTTTACCTACAGCATTTGCCACAGGTCGCACAGCACTTGGCTTACCCAAAAGTTCAGCAACATCTGAGTATGTGAATTGCTCGCCAAATGGTATTTTGAGTAATGCTTTGTAAACGCTTTGTTGAAACTCTGATCCAGTCAAGCATAGCGTCATCGTTCCTCCATCATCTTTACCAAATATAGCGTTAACCGTTTTAGTTGCCAAAACAGAATCCTCAGTGTACACAGCCTTTGGCCAGCACTGTTTTAAGTTATTGAGACCAGCGGCCTTGTTTTGTATAAAATGTAGAAAACAAATTTTGTTTGGCTCAAGTAATCCAATTAAAACTTCACCAAATTTTGTATCTGCATACCCGTAACTTATTTTGAATTCTTCATTACTTTCATATGGAAAACTTATACAATTAATTTGTTCAGTTTTTAACATGTTTGTGTTAATTTCGTGAATGCTCCTAAGTTGAAGCGCCAATTTTTGTAAAACCAAATGAAATTTATAATCGTGGGAAAGTGCAAAAACCGCTGAAGACTTGGCAGATGTTTGATAGAAGAGCCGCTGTAAAAATTTTATATTTCTGACATATTACAGTGTTGGCAAGCGAAGAGTTTTTAAAAATTGTAATAAATATAACAAAAAAACTAAATTAAATTCAATAAGTGCGTGGTGTACGTATTTATTTGTTCGAATGCTTTATATAAATGGGTGCCAAATAGCGAAATAAAGGGAACAGAAATGTTGACAGAGCCTCTATACAATATTTTAAAACAATTAATTTGGAAATAAAAAATGTACAATTTGTATTATTCAAAGACATAGCTATCTATTCATTTAAAACTTTATTCGTATTCTTAACATCCAGTAAAACTAACATAAAATTCACAGAACTTTATACTTTTACATTATCTGTACAGTAGATTAATACTTGGCTTATACAATAATAAATATACAGTTAAAAACTACTTAAAGATTAGCACTTTCATATTCCAATAATTGCTTTTTAATATAACTTCCAAAGCCGTACTTAAATTTGTTCCCACTTTTAGAAATTACCCTGTGGCATGGTATTATTATTGCAATATCATTCTTAGCTACAGCATTTGCCACAGGTCGCACAGCTCTTGGCTTTCCCAATAGTGTAGCAACTTCAGAATATGTTATTTGTGCCCCAAACGGTATTTTAAGCAATGTTTTGTAAACGCTTTGTTGAAACTCTGTTCCAGTTAGACATAACGTCATCGTTCGTTTCTCACCTTTACCAAATATAGTTTTAGTTGTCTTGACTGCCAAATTAGAATCCTCGAAATAATTAGCATTTGGCCAACAGTTTTTTAAATTACTGAGAGCAACGTCTTTATTTTGTGCAAAATGTAGAAAACATATTTTATTAGGCGCAAGTAGACCGATCAAAATGTCACCAAATTCTGTATCTGCATATCCATAGCTAATTTTAAATTCTTCAGTAGTTTTGAACGGAAAGCTTATACACTTAATTTGCCCAGATTTCAACATATTCTTATTAATTGCAATTTGCTCTTAAACCGAAGCGCCAACTTTCGCACAAAAATAAATCTATTGCTGTCGAGAATAGCAAAAACCGCTGGAGACTGTCATATGCTTGTACATAAGCCGCTGTGGAACTTTTGTGCAAGTTTCAAATTAGTGTTAATAAGTACGAGAATTTTTTTAAAATTATAACAATTTGAAACAACAAACTATTTTAAACCATTATGAACTTTAAAAGTAATAGCATATCACCATTGACTTCGTTAAAGCAGTTTATTTGATTTAGGTCACTAATGAAATTTGATTAACCGTACATAAAGGTTTCGTGCTTTTTAATTTAGTTAAGAATAAATCAGAGGAAATTACACGAAATATATCAAATGCAGCAATGCAAAATATATTTCCCAATAAGGAAATAGTCGACATATGACACATAAAAAAAAATTAAAAAAAAAACATTCAATTCAAACGAAAAAAAATATTTTCTAAAACATGTTTCTTTTCTAATTAAATATATTCACATATCATATATCAAATATATATTTGTTACCATTATTAAATAAATTTCTTACACAATTTTGTTGCAAAAAGTTTTTCTATTTTTACAGTACTGATTTATAAAATATCCCAATTTAGGAACTTATTTGTAAGAACAAAAGATTAATAGAGTAATACAAAGAATTACGCATCTTGAATGTATGAATTGTTTTAAACATATTTAAAATTTTCAATTAATTATCAATCACGACTACTGTTGCCGGCAAAAATATTGTCTGTAGTACGGCATACAGTACTTGAAGCAGTTACGGTATTACATATGCAGGAGTACACACTAATGAGGTACGGTAATATAGAGTATAACGATTAAAAATTTAAATATTCTTATCCCAGTGGATACGATTGATAGCTCATTAAAAGGCAGCCAGAAAATGAAAAAACAAAAATAAAAATAAATCGTTATGCAAATGGTAGTTTATTGTTTATATTTCAATTCCAAGACAAAAAAGTTCAGAGGAGTTGTGAACTCGACAAAAATAAATTGTAAGAAAAACCAGAGAAAACAGCTTATAGTGATATACCGTATTGCATATTACTGCGTAGTTTTGCGTCAATCGTTGTGGTGCTATATACATACCTTTTCAATTAAAAAAGAAAACATTTAATGATTAATTATTGATTACTTTAAAACAATATATATTATATAAATATTTATATATTAATAAAATTTATTGCAATGTCTAACTTGAACAAAAAAAATTCTTGCAGTTGGTTAAAAGTTTTTAAAATCTAATTACAGAAAAAATTTTGTTTTTGTCTCATATAGTAAATGAAAACATTTCTTATAATAAATTTAAAACTATATATAACTAGTTATTATTTTAAATATATATAAGTTTTATGTGTTGTTGTAGATATGAATTAGTCCTATTGCGCACTTTTACTCTAATCCCTGCCCCACACTAAACTTTAACTATACTAGAATCATTATCATTAATTTATCTTCTAACTGATTACAGACCGTAGATCAGCATATCTTCCTGTGCGTCTTGAGGTGAACTTAAGGTTTGTTAGGGCGGGGTTGGGCAAGGTTTTGTTAAACTGATTTGTTTCTTTAAGGATTTGACATACAACATATTGTGTTTAAAGTCCACTTGATTTCTTGTATGATATGTCAAAAGAGGTTAGATAATTAGTTAATAAATCTAACTATTTTAGAAAAAATTCTGTCACTAATAAACTACAAAACATGGTTGTACATTAAGACTTGTTGTGAAGAAAATCAAGTTATTCTCTTTTCGGAACATTTCGTTATCACAAACTCATCTATATTTGCATTGCACCGATTATTTCTTGGTTCCTAACTGGCTCCCAATTGTTGACACTTCTGTTATATTATGTTCATAAATTAATATAGTTCCTTGTTGGATCTCTCAAAGCCGATTTAACAGTTATAATCAATTTCAACATTATTTTTAATTTTTCAATTTCAATCACAGACTTAAGTCACAATTGTGAAATTGCCTCCCAATGTTTTTATATATTGTCTTTAAATCACAAAAATTAAAAATTTATTTATTTCAAAAGTTCAAACTTTAAATATATTTTTAATTAAAATAAGGTTTTAAATTACCTAATTCTGTATTGAATGACGTCTGCTTCAAATTTTTTGTTGAACTTTTTGGGGGAAATTAATTTTAAAAGCTGACAAGCTTCTGTCAAATAATGTAAATCATTTATACTATTTCTTTTTTGTTTTTATTAAAACTGTTTATAGATGTATGTATGTATGTGTTTATGTAATAAGCACATTGACTTTTGTTTATAACAAATAGAAAATAAATTTATAAAAACTAAATCACCGGCTATTGAAACTATGCAAAAAGTTTTCGTTTAGTATTAAAGTTTCAAAATTATACTCTTTACTCTCTGACACACAAAACATTAACTTGAACTTGACATTAAAGACAAAGTACGCAACATAAATTATTTTAAATCAATTTTAATGGGAATTATTTGTATTATAAATATTTTTATATGTATAAAAATTGGCAATATGTGTGTTTTCAATAAAACACTAGACAGTTCTTCATACCAAACACGTTTTTGAAATGTTTTGATTGTCAAGGAAAAAACTATTTAAAAAAAATCAATAAAATCGATTTGCATCCATAATCAAATAAAACTTGCAAACTTGTACTTTATTGTTAGTATGACTATGACTATTATAAACCACAAACCGCAAAATTATGCAAATATATATTATGACTTGACAAATGTGTATTAAGTTGAATAATTCCATGACAGCACGTCACGGAACATAATATTGTGAATACTTTTCTAGTTGACAGTTCAGTCCTTGTCTATGATTTGTTCTCTTCTTGCTATCCTTTCAACTTGTGTGCTTCACGAGGAAAGGAGAGCTTAAAAATATAAATAATTTCAGTGCAGTGGTGATTAGTAAAATTATTATTATAACACAAAAAACTATATTAAAAACAAATTAGGAATTATTTAAACACATAGTAGACCGCCACGAATTTGAAATTTTAATATAAGCAAGACTTCACGTTTTTCCAATAACTTTTGTCAAAGAAGTAAGTAAACAAATAAAAATTAGTATAGTTTGTTGATAAAACTTACTAAAACCTGAGAGCCAAGCAAAGATTATTTAAAAACAATAATATTTGTGTTATTTTCTGTTTAAAAGTGACATAACAAATGTATTCTTTGTGCATAAATAAATTTTAAATAAAATCTTAAACTTGCTTGTAATAGGCGTTTTATTCTAGTAATTAACATAACTTAAACAATTCAAATAATTTCAATTTCAATATCAATACAGTATCAGCAATCAAATGCATTGTTCAAGTTGAATTGACAGACAAGAAACTATAAATCAAGTGCTCGCATCGCATATCAATTTCATTTGAGTTCAACAAATTTTTATTCTAACACATTTTGCGCAATAAGCACAAAAATATTTGCCATTCGTAAAGGTCTTGAACATCTGTTTTTGGTGCTCATAATTGTGTTTATGTCAAAATAAATTATTTAACTACCGATTTTGCCTTAACTGTTTACACTTGAAAAAATGTTCAAACTAATTTTTCAAACTAATAAATGTTTAAAGAATTTTGATGCTAAGTGTGTAATAATCGCAAGATTGATTAAGCGAATGGTGAAATGCTTTTAGGGTCGTGTGCGAGTTCAAGTAAATTGATGGTAAATTGAGGGAAGTAGTAAATTATCTCGGTATGGCAGCGAATGTTGATATTTACCAGAATTTCGAGTAGGGTAAATTAGATAAAATTTAGGATAATTAGGTCTTACCTATGTGAAAATTTTATAAGATGATATAAGATGTTTTTATAAGACAAGATAAATAAATAAATAAATTTGAAAACTTTTAACCAAAAATAATAAATTAGTGCAATAAATAAATTAATAAATATTTACATAAGTGTAGTGCAAAAAATTTCAATTTACTTTATCTCAATTAACTCGGACTATTTAAGAAAGACGTTCACACCTCCGTTTGTTAATTCAAAATAATTGAATTTATTGTTTCGTGAAAATTCTCTTAAGCGAACAGTCAGCGTCACTTAATTTTTGTCCGTTCAAGAAAGTTGCCCCTGCTAAAAGAAGCTAAGTTATTCCAATTAATGTTAAAAAAGTTTATTTAGTGTATTTAGTGTTATGGTTTTTTATAATTTAAAAGACACCGATATATAGCAATGACGAAAAAGAAATTTGACTTTATTTTGATTTTACAAATAATTTGAATTTCATTAAATTACCTTATAATTTACACACGCATATTATTGATTAGGTAACAATATTGTATTACTTAAGAACATACCTCAGCACGTCATTGGGAGTAAGTAATTATATTGATTATTTCTTCACTATTCGGTATCGAAGAACTCCAATGAGTACTCAATGCTCGAGCCATACTCTAATAACAAAAAATTTCTACGAATGCCAAAACTGTTCGAACTGTTCGGCAGTCATTAAATTTTGATAAGTGCACCCATTGATTTATACTATTCAAGTATAAGCTATGACACATAAGTCATCTGCCATGTGTATTACGCAATTTAGAAAAGTGTACGCACTCTTGTGACCATCATTCATTAGCACTGGTACTCGTCAACGAAAACACTACTATTCACCAGCTGGAAAATGCACAAAACCAGACTCTGAGAAGACTTTTCAAAGTGCCATGCCTCCCTCAAGATCGATCCGATTAAAAAATATATAAAGAATAGAGCCCTGAAACTATCTACGAAAACGGACAGACTTACCAACATCGCATTATCAAATATTAGAATGGTTAAAGGTTCCTCGGGGAGGTATGCAGATCTCTCTACGGTTATGAAGAAACCTCCCAGTTAGTAGAGAGTAAAAGTGCTCAAGTGCACTGACTGAACTAGCCTCAACATACTAGAAAACACTTATGAATCATTTCTGTTGGCGAATGTAAATGTGTGTAAGTAGCATACGAG